ATTCTAGTTAGTATGTATAATTTATGTACAGCCCTTCCAGGTGTTATCAGTATGTAGCCTGAAATGCCCAGAACAACTTAAATAGCAATGTGTTGTTTTAAGTACTTTCCATCAATGCTATTAAGATGATGACTAGATAGATATCTATGTAGGTATACGTATTTTCCATTGTCAGAAGCAAATTGTAGATTCTCTAATATTAGATATTCCCAAAGGGCTAAAAATATAAACAATTGACAATCCTAAATCAATGATAGTTGAATCCAGGAAGGGTAAGTCAGTGAATGGATCGCTTTAGACACACCCCATCCATATACTCTTCTTCTAAAGGATCTACTATATGTCACAGTTGGAGATGGGATATTGGGCTAGGTGGGTATGGATGACATTTCTTATGTTTTTAGGATTACAAGTAAACAAGTACAGCTCCTGTGTCACAGGGCACTAAGGTATGCCTGCTTCTATAAGGGCAGAAGCTGCCTAGAGAGAGGGCCCTAGGAGCTAGGCAACTCCCACAGGTGCAGGTTGCTGTGGCAGCAGGTTAATGAAAGAATTAGCTGACCAGTTGGTCAGCTGACTGGAAGAAGGCGGGGCCCTGGGCACATATAAGTCCCAGGGCTGAGACTGGAGGTAGGTAGTACTCTGGCAGCAACCAGGAGGAAGGCGCTCTTGGAGGAGCTCTATTCAAAGATGCTTGTTTGGCTATTCTGCTGCTGGTAAGACTAAAGGGCTCTAGGAGCTCCAAAAATATCTGGGGCAGGGCACACACATTGTTGAGGGAGAAGCTTGCCCCTTAAAGGGGCAGAGTGCAACCTTCAGTGTTGTTGTTGTTTTGTTATAGCCCAGGGGCTTGTATTTACATTGTTGGTTGTTTAATCTGGTGGAATGAGCTGCGGCTATTGGGGAGGAGGAGGCCTCACTGGGGGACACTACAATGTGGAGAGCCCAGTGCCAGTGAGGGTGCTCAGACAGAGGCACAGAGAGCTCATTGATGATAGGAGGCTGAGTTAGATAAAGGCCTCAGAGGGACAATGTTTGAATACCACCTGCAAGGCATGGGGCATGGTAAAGGGGCACTCTTGGAGTCACACATCTAGCCCATAAGGCTTGGTGTGTCCCGCGAGGCACTTACTTAGAGCAGGACCCAGCAGGGGATCTAAGAACACACACGGTTTAGTGGGGTCCACCAGGACCCTGACTGCATAGCAACTTAAGGGCAGCCTCCCTACCTACTATCTAGTTTCTTAACCATCCAGACATGGCAAAGATTAGAAGGTGACCGCAGGGCAAAGCTGGCTCGGACAGAGGGCCCTAGGGGCATCACGGACATCTCTAGGGACACCACCACATGACATCCTGGAAATAACAACTTGCTTAAATTACATCTTAAGAGTTATGGTAGTGTTGTACTATTGTAGCCATGATGGTCCAGGGAAAATGCAAGATACAAGGGATCTTAGATTACTCTCATTGACTTCAATGGGAGCATTACCAAAGCCTCTCATATGTGTGTGTCCTTAAAATACATAGTATTAAACTTACTATAATATCAGTATAGCTCAGTGTTTAGAAACTCACTGCTTGTGATAATAGAGACAAAAATAAACAAAACTTAGGGAAAGATTATTAGATATTTACCATTTTGACTCTGGAGTCATGATAGGCAAGCACTGAGTCATTACTTTTTATTTTTGGTATCCATTCTACTCAGTAGAGAATGGCATCCAATAACTGTCAAATTCCCTTAGAAACAGCAACTTGCATGAAGGAAATTTATTTGAAAAGCACAAGATATAACAAAGGGATTAGATGGATGATTATAAGAAACCTTTTTATGCTAATGCTTGTTTTGTGACTCTTTGTTTTCACATTTAACAATGGAAATAGAGACCAAGTTAATAACTCAAAATATTTTTGTGTATAGCATGGTGTGTTTTATTTTGTATCATTTAATGTAATTTAATTATATTAATTAAAATACAGTACATTAAATAATTATATCATATTCAGTTCATATTAAAAAAATGACCACCTAATGTAGCAACAGCAGTCCAAAAGTTTGTTCTTTTGAAACAGATGGCATGAAACACTACAGGACTTGGAGGCACCATCATTTCAATTCAGCTTCTAGTATATCCTAGATAAGGTCCAAAATAAATGCAAAAGCAAACAACAGGAAAAGCTGACAAACACTGACCTAGCTAAACAGTAAGTTACATGTGTGAATTTCAGTATAAGAGTAATTTCATGGGAGTCAATGGGACTACTCACACGTTTAGCAGTTAGCCATGTGTTTCAGTTATTTGAGTGGTTCCAAATTCCTTTGAAAGTAATATAAAGGTGGTAGACCGTATATTAACATCTAATAAAATGGGGGTGGTACACCAAAGAAAAATGGATTGCCTGGATGAAAAAGTATATGTTATTAGTCATATTCATGATGGTAACATATAGGGACCAATAAGAAAAGTAGATGGTGTAGGAGAATGGGAAGAGAAAAGCAGACAATTGCAGCGTAGAAGAATGGTATGTAACAAGCTAGAATGAACAATCTGCTAGATCAACCTTTTAGAGGTGGAAAGTGGTCTGAAACAAAGAAATTAGAAGAGGATATCCAACAAGGAAAGAAAAGTAAATGGAAAAGGAGATATTGAAGAGAAATTTAGGGACAACTACACAGTAGAGAAGAGGTGTCCCAGCCAGCTGTGGAGGGTTCAGGATTGAGTGTGTGGTGGAGGGTAGAAAGGTAAGTTTTATTGACTTAACAAAAACATGACTACGCACAGATAACAAAACAACAGACAGACAAAAATAATTCACATCGACAACTTATCAGCAGTCCTCTCTGCCTGATGTACAACGAGTTTCACTTCTGCAAAGCTCATTGAAGTCTGACATCCCCAATCAGTGCTGTCTGAGGGGTACCAGGAAGGACCCTGGCATTCAATCTTTGGGCTCCTCGAGGTCCACAGGCCCACTGATCCAGGCCAGCGGCTAATCTTAAATCTATACTTCTTTCACAGAGCTATAGCTTCCTTCTAAATGACTTCTGGATGTGCCAGCCAATTTATAATTTCTCAGCTATGCTGATAAGTTACAGCCATTCAGATTCTTTTTACTTCAACTGCCCTGAGACTGACCAATAGCAGTACAAGCCTTGCATTCTCTTGATAAGATTAAGTTTAACTAAGCCACAGGGCCTTACTATTTCAAAGGATTGCTAAATTTACTAGGCCTTACTTCATACAAGGTTTTACTACATCTTTAACTTTAATTAGGCTCTTAGCAACTACATATAGCTTAAAATCTAAACAAATGACAGAAAAAACACTTGGTCTAATCTTCACAGAGCCTTCAGCAAGTACCTTTATCACACAGATGGATATAATTTTCAGCTGTCACAAGAGGGAAAGAAGAGCAGGTACAAAGTGAAGTGAAAGTGAAAAGGGGAATGAGAGCTAAAGCAAACATATTACAGAAAAGCTAGTTAAAATTGTACCAAGAGCTCTATGGCTGCCTATACACATACTTGGCAGTGAGGGCCGGCTCCTGGACAGCTGCTCTAATTAAAATGCCTCACTGTCACATGTATTAAGCCCCTGCACATTTAAAAATGGCCCTTGGATGCTTTACCTAAACCTCATTCAATGTGGTTTAGGTAAAGCGCCCCTCAGCCATTTTAAAATGCTCGGGGCCTTATCCACGTGACACTGTAGTGACATTGGAGCATTTTAATTAGAACACTGAGCAGACTCAATTATTCAAGTTTTCACCAACATATTCTAATTAGAATGCCAAAGAGCATGTGTACAGGCAGCCTAAATGCCTGAAGGGCCCTCCTTTGCTTACTTTTACAGCTGTTCCTAGAGGCTACAGAGTTTGGCTAGTTCCCCTTTGCAGTCTCCTCTCCCCCTCCCCCCCCCCCCCCCCCGCCCCCC